CGCCGGTGCTCCAATGCAGTAAAGTGACTCAGCAGGTCTGATGTTTTACGCATGCTTCCCCTGGTTAATGCTGCTGTTACAGCGGCCAATGAGCAGAGGGGGAACGCACCACTCCCACCTTTGATCCTTTCCTGCCAATGAGTGATGAGTTTCTGGGATTAAGAGACGGCAACACTGTGTTTGAAGGACTTAATGTAATAATGAAAGCACAGAGGCTGTTTTTCAAAGAACACATGCAGAAAAAAAAAACTCAAACTGACGGGAAATAATGAATTTCACTGGGGTTCTTTCATCTCCACCCGAGGCTTAAATCTCTCAGCATGTCCAATTTCAATCAACACACACACACACAAAGTCCCACTCCACTCTCATCTGCAGAAATCAGTGGGATGAAGGCACGTCCATAAATCCTGCTGACTCAGCACCAGCTAGACAGCACAAGGGCACAGAGCTGTGCACGGCCCAGGAGAGAGCTTGTGGATTCATGGAATTGAGCAGATCGATAGTCAGTTCTGCACAACTAAAGATAAAGAGTTTTATGTTTCATGATTGCAATAATTGCTTGTATGTCAATTAAAAAAATAACAAAAAAGACAGAACATCTGAGTCTAAGTGACTCGGTTCTAAGCTGTTAGTGTTCTCAGTATGACTCACGTGGGTTGGAGTTGGGAATCTCAGGAACAGAAGAGACAAACTCAGTAAAAGACATATTACCCACAACTTTAATTGAAAACTTGGAAAAAAAAGTATGCGATTGAAAATATTTGTTGTTCAAATGCAATTCAAGCGAGTTTTTCCAAAATTCATCAAACTTCCTGGTTTCAATTCTTCCTGGACAGACAAGTGCAAGGGAAAGTCGAGAGAACAAGACATTTGAGAAAAGTTCCCGTGGAGGCAAACGGGACAGGAACCATAACACCATAACATTGGTCAGGATGGACCCTTAAAACCAGTCTGTGGTCAGTTTGGAATCTTACCGATTAAAGATAAAAGTTAATATTGCATGTCAGAGAAGGTGCCAAGCAGTTGAAATGGGTGTTGGTAGTTTCCAGATATCGTAGAGAAAGGTTTCTATTTCATTGCACCTCTAACTAAGAAACAACAAAAGCAATGACATTTCATTCATAATACAACTCTAATAAGAGAGGCTCAATTCATTAATATTTTAAAGACTTGTTCGTTAGAATACATTGGATGTGTAACATGGGGCAAAAAATGTCATTGGTCAGCCACTGATTGTGCAAGTTCTCCTTACTTAGAAAGATTAGAAAGGTCTCTAGTTCTCAACTTAGATACACTTCAACTAAGAGGAACAATGGGGATAAAAAAGAAATCACAATGTAGGAATTTTTAAATTATGGTGAGAAAAGTAGTTGGTCCGACAACAGTTCAACTTAAAACTTCATACCATAACATAGCCCGTTTTGGCAGTGACAGAGGGTCTTCCTCAGGTTTGCACACTGTATTTAGGCCCATTCCTCCACCCAGAATTCCCATTCTGTGGGGTTGAGGTCTGGAAACTGGCCGGCCCATTCCAGGACCTTTGGAATGCTTTTTACAGTTGATTTCTTCCCACTGACCTGCTTTCCTGTTTCCTGGAAGATTCCTTATTCCCAGCCTGGTGCAGGTCTTCAGGTTTTCTACAGGTTTCCCCCTGGTGTCCTCGGTCAGCCCTGTGGTCAGGGCCATGGTTGAGTTGTGAACCTGTGGACAGGTGTCCCTCATACAGACAACGAGGTCAAACAGGTGCCATCAATAAAGGTAACGAGCCTCTTAAAGGAGAAGTTACAGGTCTGTGAGAGCCAGAAATCCTGCATGTTTGTGGGTGACCAAATGTGTCGTTACCGCCATAATTTACAAGTAAATTCCTTAATAATCCTACAAAGTGATTTCCTGGATTTGTTTCTTCTCATTTTGCCTCGTAGTTGAAGTAGGAAACCTGCACAATCAGGGGCTGACTGATCACTCTTTTGCCCCACCGTAAGGTGGTAAGAAAGGCTGTTCCCAAAAGGAGATCCAAGCTGCTTTTATGATTCTGAGCCTCCATCTGACATTACTCTGAATAAAAAACTATGTTTTTCTTCAAGGTATAAAAGACTTCTGGAAATAAAAAGGCAAAATTCAGGAAAAAAGTATAACGGGGCGGAAAAAGTGCGATGTTCCCAGGCAAATAAACCTTCAAGCTAATAGAGCATCACGTTTGAAGCATCATGTAATGCAGAATACAGGAGAAAAACTACAGGAAAGAACCTCGAAAGAGTTCTCGCTGCCACCAGCACAGCAAATAACAGAATTCTTATGAGGTGTATCCTTTGATTTGTCAATTTTCTTCATAAAGAGCTCCACGTTTGCAGCATGTACACATTCGTTTGGCTAATCGGGAGGAAAAGAAGTCCCAGACAATGTGCATTTCAACCATTTCTGTGGATTCGAAAAAAGGGAAATGGCTCAAGACTAAAGTTACAAGTTATTAGTACGTATTGCGACTGCTTAGACAAACTTAGACACTAAAATAAAATAAAAAAAACTCTCACAAAGTGGCCAGTGTTCTTTTTGCTGACGTTCCCTCCGAGCCTTTTTAAGCAGCATTTTCCAAACAGAAGCATCTTTGGCATCTTCCTTCCATTTCCTGTGACCTTGCACTCCATCCAGCTCCATAAAGGAGCCATCTATAGCGTATAAAAACTACCGTTTTCCTCCGATACATTCAGTCAGTCAGTCTGCATATGCATGGACATTCGGGGGAAACTGAAGCTGGGAAGCTATGCTTTTTTTTTTTCTTCTCCACATTGCCAAAAGCGGTGACCGTGGGTGCGGCGCATTCCTGGTCACGGGTTTTCAGATAAAACTCTGAGATCTGTAGTTCGGCGACTACGTCGTCTTTACAAACAGCTCGAGGAACCATCCTGTGATGGAGAGTTCAGTGTGTCTCGCGCGCTTTGCTAGGTTTTTACCAGCGGCTGCTCTGAAATGTCCTCTGGTGTCTTGTCTCCTTCACGAGATCTTTTCCTCTTCTTGTGGCCTGAGGAGACAACAAAGGCCGACAGTTACAGATATATACAGTATGGATATCCCACCATTTTCCTCTAAGACAGGGGTCTTCAACGTTTTCCAGGCCAAGGACCCCCAAACTGATGGAATGGGGACCCCTTAATTATATATATCGTCTGAAATTGTATCATATCAAACTGGTCCTATAGTGTGTAAATGTACCTTGTTATTGGGCATTCAGTACTAAGATACTCAAATAATACACAGGTTTGTATATTCCTGTTTTTGTTTTAAAAATCTGGTTCTGGTTCCTGGTTGGTGGGACAGGTGTTGTGAACGAAACGGTGCCCAGGTTGAAAGAGCTCCTGTGTGTGTCTGAATGTGTGCGTTGATGACTGAAAGACATCTTCTGCCTCCATTTATCTGTTTACTACAGTCTGTTGAATTCATGTTCATGTGGATTTAAAGACTTTTCAATTAGTGGAAAAATTGCAGGGGGGAAATATGAACAAAAAAAAGTCTAATCAACCAAAACTTTCGTGACCCCCATGCAGTACCTCTGCGGACCCCCTAGGGGTCGCGGACCTTCTGTTGAACACCTCCGCTCTAAGACATCCCGTGTAATTAGGAAATGTGCCTTTAATGGCTGAAACAAAAAGAACCGTCTTCCTTTAGGAGATGTAGAACTCCACGCTGGTCAGTCTGCATTGTACTGAGGCACTTTGGGTTTTGATTTATTAGTTTCAGTGACATTTTTGTGTATAGTTTGTGGACTTAAATGTCCCCTTTTTCTCATTTAAGGTCAGTTTTTGTGATTACTTTGGTTTGTTTTTTTGCCTGTGCCCAACTATCCTTCAGAGCTCCCTCCATCCCATCACATTATGATTAGATTATCATCATAATTATTTGTCATCACTCAGAAATGTGTGATTTTTGTGGTGTGCGTTGTTGACCGTGGTAAAGAAGTGTAGGCTCTGTGGGCTGATCCATACAATGAAAGGGCTCCGGGAACTGCAGCGCACTTTGAGACACTCCACAGGAATATAAAGTAGGCCCTCGTGTATGTTTTAACAGTCTGTGTGTGTGTGTGAGAGAGAGAGAGGGAGAAAGTGTGTGTGCACGCCTAAGATCCTTAAACATGGTGCCTGCTACACTTGTGCAAACAATTGAGTTTTGTGGGGAGAAAACGGTAGACCACGTTGTACTCAAGAGGATTTTTAAGTGTTCTGGGCTGGAACCGGGTCAGCCTTATGGTAAAGTTCTGAGGAATGTATTGTGTCAATGTAAATCACCAAAAAGATCCCAAAACAAGTTTGCATGCCAAAACTAATGAGGAAGAGAGAAGTGACTAATGAATAGATGGCTGGTTCCAGAGGGTCTTTTTTTAAATCTCACAGTGAGGACTGAATTCACCCTTTGGGGACCTCTGGTCACTCTGGAGACCATAGTGAGGTGTTAATCTTTTATGGCTGGTTAATACTTTAATTTAAGTTTGGGGCTGGGTTAAGGACTCGGGGTCTACAGTAAGGAGGTGAAGGATCCCCACAAGGCCACAGATACCAGCTTGTGAGAGTGAGAGAAAGAGAAGAAGAAGAAGAAGAAACCTACTAAGTTTGAGCAGCAGCTTCTTGCCCAGCGTGTCTTCGGAGCCGCTCAGCGACAGGCTGCTGATGAAAGGGGACGTGTCCGTTTCCACGGGAACGGAGGCCTCATCTGAGAAAAACAGAGGGGGGGGGGGGGGGGGGTTTGGAGGAAGCTGTCGGCTTAGGTTTCTGTCGGAGGACAAATGCAGGTCCCTGTGTGACCGAGCTGAGGACGGAAAGGCGGAAATTTGGCAGCTCGGGTTGAGAATAAGTGGAATTTGCTTATTGGTCAGACTGCTGGTGACAAAGGGGGGCTTTTCCATTTGGACCTTCTCAGCTCGACTCGACTCTGTCTTTAACATCTCCTTTGGGGCCGTTTCCTCTTAGCTAGCGACCTATGTGAATGGAGGGGTCCTTCTCGTGAACCCAGCTATTTTAAATCAAATTTGAATGTCCAATTTCATTATTTGTGTGAGCGCTAACGTTGTAGCCGTCTTTATCGTTGTCTTTCTGTTTGGACCTCAAATTCAATGAAAAAACCCCCAAACCGAGCCACAATGAGTCGAGTGAGGCTGAGCAGGCACGAATGGAAACCCCCAAAGCGGTGCTCATGCTAAATACCCCGAGGAAAACATGTCAACAGGGGACTCAGCGCCTCGTTGCTTTGCTATCATGAGCTTACAGATAACCGAATTCCCCCCTCTGACGTGGGCACAGTACAGAAACTGGAACACGACAAAGAGACACATTCGGAAATCAAAGCACAAGTCTGATCTTAACCACCAAGCCGTCACGCACGATTCAAATAAGGAAACAGGAATCAGAGCGTGCCGTTTAGCAGACATTTGAAGTTCTTAGGAATAGCCTGAAGGTTCAGCAACACACGTTCTGAGAGAAGCTACTTCTGAAGGAGTGTGAACAGCCCAGTGGGCAGCCATTAGCTCTTCCCCCACACAGGAAACATGGCACCATTCCTCTTCCTTTAAAAAGCCCACACACAAACAGAACAATGATTGTTCTGGTCTGAGCCAACTCAGATTCTTCAAGTCTTTTTTTAGTTGGCGAAATCTTGTTAAACGGCCGAATGCATCCGTCGGTAATATTTCAGATTTGCATTGAGGTTTCACCTCGACAGACCTGGGGAACAGCCCTATCTCTTTTGCGTGAGGAATCTGGTGCCACGGTCTTTCACTTTCTCCTGTATTGTCCATCAAGCCTTTGCAAACCTCTCCTCAGCCTGCTAGCTTATAATTTAGCCTGCGAAACAACTCATAGACTTTAGCTGAGAGCTGTACGCCGTGAGCTTGGAGGACGGGCTGCTTCTTGACATGAGATACAAATGGTGTTGAGGTCAGACTTGGCTGTTAGAAGACTAAACACGAACGAAGTAGGACGAACCAGCTTGTGCATCCGGCTCGGATCTGTCCTCTCGGATGTAAGGAATTTCGTCCATCCTGAGGAAGACTGAATCGCTGGGACTCTTCTGGCCATCAGACTTACTCCCTGTCGAAAAAACACACAGAAACACCCATGATCGCAATGGATGAGTGGTCGTACTGGAGCACTGGAGCCTTGAGGGGTTTTGGGGATTTTCGTAGCGGTGAAATCTGACTGTGATAATGTCCACCATTCCCTCAGAGATCCCTCATATCAAACCAGACTGGAACCAGAGGAAGCTCCAAAAAGGGATTTTCCTTGAGGAGCTAGGCAAGGGCAAGGCACTTATGACATGGTATTTTCTCCAAGATAACCATGATTTATCATACCCAAATCCCAAATTTTGAACACCAATTCTAACATTATGACAAAACAAATAGTCACGCTTCCTTTGTTAATTGTGTAGATAAAGACAATATATGTTAATGGTTCATTAAATAAAATATTATAAACCCAGATAATGTCCCGGGTCAATTTGACCCGAGGGATACCATACGGCCCCAAAATATCATTCAAGGGATGAAACAGGTGAAACGATTATTCTTGCCTCACACGCTGCCTCCCGTGCCTTTACTGTAACCCCCCCACCCCCCACTTCTGTTAAAATTCCGGCTGCCAACAGCTTCTGTGGAACAAGACCAACTCAAACTGTGAGGTGAGAGAAATGTCTGACACTCTGAACTCGTGCTTGGTTCGGGATGTTTCTTTTGTAAAACCTTTTCACTTCATTCATTAATAAGTCATTACATCTATTGACAGCTCCTTTCATCATTCATCTCGACTGTGATGCCATGCCACTATGGCCTGAATGCTGCTGAGTCTGGATCTGTGGTTGGGAGTCTCCTGCACCAGGGTTCTGCATCCTAAAGGAAGTTTTTCCTTGCCCTTGTCGCCTAGTGCTTGCTCTTGGTTGGGAATTGTTGGGCTTCTGTAAATAACTTCAAAGTCTGGTCTGACCTGCTCTGTTTGGAAAGCCGTGAGATAACTGTTGTTGTGATGTGGCGCTATAAAAATAAAACTGAATTGAACAATTGGATTAAATTGAGGCAGCATGGTGTTGTGGTGGTTAGCACCATCCCCTCACAGCAAGAGGGTTCTGGGTTGGAGTCCCCGGGGGAACCAGGACCTTTCAGCCAGAGGGTTCTGGGTTTGAGTCCCGGGGGAACCAGGACCTTTCTGGATGGAGTCTGCATGTTCTCCTGTATCAGTGGGTTCTCTCCAGGTTCTCCGGCTTCCTCCCACCATCCAATAACCTGCATGTTAGGTTGATTGGACACTCCAAACTGCCCTTAGTGTGAGTGTGTGTGGTTGTTGGTCCTTGTGTGTCTCTGTGTGGCCCTGCGATGGACTGGTGGACCATCCAGGGTGTACCCCGCCTCTCCCCATTGACCACTGGGATAGGCTCCAGTTCTTCCCGCAACCCCATTAGGGAATAAGCGGTAACGATAATGGATGGATGGATTGAATTGAATAGAGTCTGACGGCTGAAAACAGGACTTCTTCCGTTGGACACTTACTGACGATGCGGTTCTTCTCGTTGAGCAGGGAGGTGCTGTGTGGGACGCTGGACTGCTGGCCCCGGGCCCGGGCCGAGCTGGGCCGGCCGGGCTCCCTGGGCGGAGGCATGAGGGTGGCGCCGGGGTGCTCCGGGGGCATGAGCCTGGCTGTGGGGTCGGTGGCCGGAGGCTCGGGGGTCAGGCCGTTGCCCTCGGTCAGACGGGTGTCGGCGTCGGGCGTCTGGGGGGAGCTGTCCATCCTGGTGGCCGTTAGCGCGTTCTGGTAGTGACTCCGGGTGATCTGGCACACAGAAACACAGAGTTCTGGAAAACTACCAATGTTTGGATACCAAATCATTGAGTTCTCTCAATGAGTTCTCTCAAATGTCCTTTTTGAATTGGAAATGTCATGTGAAACTAACACTTCTCTTGCATTATCCCAGATTGCTCATATCTATGCACAGGGTGTTTATTTTTTTTGTGGTGATTCAAACAATTTTGGCTCATTTACAGAAGTGTGCGTTTGTTTTTTTTAAAACTAGCATAGAAGAAAGCAGTGGTTCTCACTGCATTCTTTTACTTTAATCCAGCCCAAATTCACTCCAATAGGAAAGGGTTTTGGGTAAAAGAAAGCACTGTCCCTGATGAGCCCATCCTGGGTTTTTCCTGAATGCATATTTTCAAAAATTGGCTCCGAACGTGAAACTCCACCAAAGCAACAACCAGCACTGAACAATAGCCTAAATTGACCTAGGAGATCTACTCACTGGGACTTCGGATTGAGTGAGGGGGCCTTTGGCAGATAATTCAAATACCTCTGTTCTTAGATTTGTTGTTGTAGCCCCTTTTTTCAGAGTTAAAACAGATGCTCATCTTGGTAATGTGAATAATAATCTAGGGGGCCCTCTCTGACCAGTTAACACCAGTGAGACTTGGGGGACACCTTGAGGATCTGGAGGGGCGTCAGCTGCCTGACGGAGTAGTCGGGCAGGTAGACGTTGCCTCCCCCGTTCAGCTGGCCCAGACTTCCTCCGTACAGGATGGACTCGGAGCGGTCCAGGCCGCTGCTCCGAGAGGGAGACCTGTGGACTGCAGGGGAAACACCGGATCAGATCATTATGGGGGACAAGAATTCCAGATGAGGATCCAGATGATCCTCCTCCTCCTTTGGCAGATAATTAAAACACCTCTGTTCCTAGATTTGTTCTTCTAGCCCCTTTTTTCAGAGTTAGAACAGATGCTCATCTTGGTGACATGAATAATAGAAACAAAAGAATCCTATAAAAAGAGAGATGTAACTCTAAGGGGAGTTTATCTTGAATTGTAGCTTCAAACAGCGACAGTAAACGAAAGCTTTCTGTGGCTGAAGGCTTTCATTTACTAGCTCTATTTCAAGAATTAGTGTGTAAGATGGAGTGGGCCCTCTGCCTAGATAGAGCAGTCACAACAACATCAAAACCCAAGTGATTCTGAGAGGACTGTGGCTCCGGATCTGGCTGAATCGGAATAATTCGGCCAAATAAACGAAAGTGACTGAGATTAGAGATCTTATTTCAGGGGTGAATATGAGGTTTTTGAAGCTTCAAAATAGTGTAAACCTTTGAGTTTAGCACTCAAACGAGTCTGAAACGTGCTGTTGTGCCGTCAGTGTGCACATTGTTGAAAGCGGTTTCTCTAAATCTTAAGCAAATGTAGGGAAACAAAGTCTGAAAGCTTCCACTGGGCCCAGCATGAAGCCCAGAAGAAGAGGGGGTTCGGTCTGGAGTTCGTCGGTGGGGAATATATAGAGCAGGGCAGAGGGTGTGCACGTACCTGCTGGCATGATGGCGGGCACCCCGAAGTAAGAAAAAGCCCCGTTCTCAAACTTCAGCGCCTCCTTACCGAACTCCACCTCGACTCGACCCTGAGAGAGATGACAAAACAGAGGAAAACAACACCTTAGTGGACAGCCCACAGCCTCTGGCTGAAGTCTGTAGGAGCCTCGGTTGGATACCCAACTCCGCCCACATCCAAGTCGGCCATTTAGATTAGGTCATGTGACTAGCAGCTTTCTGGTGGAAACAAAACTTTACTGTTTGTACGAAATTTGAAGACAAACGGTGGCCTGCCCCTAACCCTTACCTTAACCCTGACCCTAAACTTACCCTGACCCTAACCCTAACCCTGATCCTTATCCTAATCCTAACCCTGACCCTAAACCTAACCCTAACCCTAACCCTGACCCAAACCCTGACCCTAACACTAACCCTAACCCTCCAGCCTTCATAATTGTGAGAACAAATTTTTGGGGGGTTAAATTTGTTTGGACTTATTGTACAAACCTATTTAACATCCACTATTTTAACATAATATTATGTATAAAGTTTAATTCAGTGTTTGGAAGATTAATTTTACTATAAATTAATGTCTATATAGGCTATTACGATTTTCTTGCCTGGGTCCTATTGGTGACCTAATCAAAATGGCCGACTAGGACGTGGGCGGAGTCGGGTATCCATCCTTGGCTTCCTGAAGGGATTGTGTGCTTGCTCGGACCTGCAACACCAGCAGGAAGTAGTCCACCGGCTTGTTGCGCTGGAACAGGAAGTGCTGCAGCGCCCGCTTGTTCTTCTCGTCGAACTTGAGCTCCTGCACCACGCTGGGGTGTTTGATGAGCCGCAGCAGAATCTTCTCCGAGATGTGAGCGGGCTTGAAAGGCTCCACCTCTGTTCGGGGAGACGGACAGTGAGAGCGCGGCCGCTTCGGTCTTTCGCGTCCCGTCGTAAGACCGGGACAGTTCAGGTCAGCTGGAGTCAGCCGATTGGCTGAGTTCAGACTCAGACCTGAACTTTCCCAGCCACATTAAATCAATAACATCAGCATTCTTTTCGATCTCAAAAAGATTGCCAGAATCAGTGGAATCGTGTCTAAACCAGACGTAGAAAGACGAATCCATTGGACTACCGTAATGGCTGCTCACTGGGCTCTGATCCAGCTGTGATCCAGCTGCAGAACATCCAGAACCAGCTGCTCCAGTTCTGACCAGAACCAGGAAATACAACCGCCCAGTGCTAAGGTCTCTTCTCTGAGAGAGAATAGACTCTAAACCAGCTCTGCAAGTGTTCAAGTCTCTTCACGGTTGAGTACCGAAATACGTTTCTGACATGTTAGAGCCAGATGAACCAGTCTGGACCCTGAGAACCTCAGGTTCTGGTCTCCTGATGGGGCCCAGAATCAGAACTAAACAAGGTGGAGCTTCATTTCAGTTCCATGCTCCTAAAATCTGGAACAGGCTTCAACTCTGAAAGTTTTTAAATCCAGGCTGAAAACCTTTCTGTTTATATGGAAAGATGGAAACGGAATGTATTTTATCATCACCATTCACCCTTCATCTGTGTAATTCGAATTATTTTTCTTTTTTTCCTTTGTTTTCCTGCTTTTAAATTCTCTGTGAAGCACTTTGAATCGTCTTGTACACGAAATGTGCCCTACAAATAAACTTGCCTAATATGTGTTTTTTTCTCTCTCTACAGATCAAAATAATGGATAACTGAGGATTGTGATGATGGGGAAGACTGGGACCGGTAAGAGTGCTACTGGAAACACTATTCTGGGATAACCACACGTTACGTCTTTGACTGTAGACTTCTCCAGGACTTCTAGAATCATCAATTACCTCAACATCCAAAGTCAAACATCCGAGTACACGAAACGTACACGTGCAAATAAACTGGCCTGGCCTGGCCTTACCCGTGGAGAGGAAGCGGTGCGTGGCCAGGAGCAGCTGAGGGGAAATCTTCACTTTCATCTCGTTCTCCGAGAGCTTGAAGATGGAGAAGTCCTGCTGCTTCCGCTCGTGGTGGGAGACACGGCGCTTCGTTCTGTTGTCGGCTGAAACACACACACACACACACACACACACTGAAGGCCTTTGGCTCTCGTCCCAGTCCCAGTCGAAGTCGTAAACCCTTGGAGCGCTGCGCTTACGTACTGTACAGGTCCGTCTCGTCCAGGATCTCCGACTTGATGATCTCCTCGATGACGTCCTCCAGCGTGACGATGCCCATCACCTCGTAGAACGGGTCGCCCTCGCCTTCGTTGTTCACGCGCTGGACGATGGCCAGGTGGGACTTTCCTGACCGGGACGACAGGATAGTCTCAAATCAGAACCGATCAGAACCAGGCGCAAAAGGGAAGAAAACCCAACTGTTGGGCCATCGTGAGGACTTTTTATTCCTCTGCAACACGCAGAGAAGGTAACTTTGGGGATTTTCAAATAGTTCACGCTAAAATGAAAAAACATGGTGTTTTCTGCTGATGTCAGCTGAAAGTTCAGCTGCCCAGTTCTACTTTTAGAGTCAAACCCTCCAAACGCCAGCGCACAGCCAGCATTTGACCTGTTTCTTCTTTAAAAAAAAAAAAAAAAGAACATCTTTTGGGAGAAAACGGACCAAATGGACCGCATAAAATAAGGGAAATAAAATAGGAGATCCCAGAATAAATAAGTGATAGGTCTGCTTATCACTGACTTTTTTTTAATGGTTCTCCTCCTCAATCAATTTCCAAATAGTATTCGGAACTTTGATTTTATGCTTAATTAAGTCCCAAAACTAACTGAAAAACATAGTTTTCCTCCCCTTCCTGCAAGTCTCTGGACGTCTTCATTAGTCATGTTTGTGACCTTAGTGAACTCAAATGTTCCATCAGATGGCTGTTTTATATTTGTTCTTATGAAATGTGATCACATTTATCAATATTTTATTATTTCATTCTCTGTACTGACTGGGATTTCAAATAAAGTTCAAATAATCTGCAAATCACGGCTTTCTATTCGTATTCCATCTTTTCAATGGCAGAATGGTTTGAGAAATATGGACTAAAAAGGAAGCTCTACACAAACTGAACCCTTGATTTCATTAGTTTTATAACTTTTGTGTTTTTACAAGAGTAGGTGTGAAGAGAAATAACAACCATGAAATCTAAAACAGATGGATGGAGGTTTGAGCTTGTTCCTCCCCGGTCCCACGGCTCAACTTTTCCGACTGGAAGACAAACCGGCCACCAGGATTTTTCGGCGTTATTCTCTCTTTTAGTTTGCCGTCTGCGAGCCCTGCCTCTGGAAGAAAGCCCGGCCTCTGAAGCTGCATGACTGCAGCTCACAGTGAGGAAAGTGTTCCTTGGCTGATTACTTTTGTGCCAGCTTCACTGATTAGCATTCAGACCAAACAATCCCTCTGTAGACACTCTATTCCACCAGACTGCAGTCTCTATAGAGAAAATCCCAGCAGGGTTTAACAGATTTTTGGATTTCTTTTTGTTTTTTTTGTTATTTTTATCTCTCTTTACCCTGAGTTTTCATAAAGTTATCAATATATAACTAAACATAATTGACAATTAATTGACAATGGTCAGGAACTCTTCTGAATGTCTAGTTAAGATCTGAGGACTGAGTCTAGTTCCATAATGGTAAAGTAAAATAAGGCATTATGCTTGGGTGTATGCAGAATAACAGAAGAAACGACCTGAATCTAAACACGTTTGCTTTTATTCCAATCTCACAGAATCCAAGTGGACTGAGCGAAGCGAGCCGCATTTTTCTGCTGCAGTGTCTGAGAGCGTTGCTACAAGGGTGGGGGGGGGGGGAGTGGGGGCAGAGCCCGGCACATGGGCTAAGCAGAGGCAAAAACCCACGTGCATAATCCTGGGGGCCTGCAAAGATGATCTCATCCCCATCCGGAAACAAAAGCTAAAGGGGCTAACGGGGTTTGGTCTGTTCTTCTGGGAAAAGTCATCTTTTCCTGTCCCAAACATGCTAACACTGAGCCTGTTTAAACTTTAAAAAAAAAAGATAACTAATCATCCAGGGTGTCAGAAAAAGACAGCAGCTCTCTGATAAACACACGTTTCACATATCTCGAGAATCATCTGAACATTTAATTTAAAATATAAAAAAGACTCCCTTCCACTTGAACAAAACCCTAAAATCGGGGATCTGTAATGTAAAATTTAGAATCTGTAATGCGCTGTGACAGACTCAGATGGTATCAGGTGAACAGAGGCTGTCTCCTCCGCTCCACACAGAGAAAAAACGCCGATTGCTGACCATGCGGGACAGCGAGGCCCGTGAGTGGCCGGTCCCGTCCCCACCCACTTCCGACTCCCCCCGGGGGAAAAAAAAAAGACCCGTCAGCTGACTGCAGGTGCACTGCAGCCCTGCCTGCAGCTCCTACTGAGCTAGACACGTTAGCGTTTACCTGATAGTGTCCTGTCCCAAGGACAGGAAAACGTTCACACAGCTCAGAAACCATCGGTCAATCGGAATTATGCAGATAGAACACTGAATGGAGAATTTGAAGATAGGTTGAGAATCTATTTGAGGTTAATCCACCAATTTATGTGACAACAAATGGTATAAATCTAACCCCGTCTATCTAAAATGCCCCCTTCCTCTTTTATAAGGGCAGCTAAATGTGTAAACAGGTTAGATTTTTACCCCCGCTGGATAACTGTTTCTTACACTGAGCCTCTTCTTACTAGTTTTGAGAGATTTGTAAAGTAATAAGAACATTAACCCTTTCATTCAAAGCAGTCTCTGCAGTGGACAGCTTTTAAAACGCCTTTATTTTGTTTATATTCTATTCTAAAACTTTTATTTGTATATATTTTATTTTAAAGCCTTACATTTTGTGTACATTTTTATCTAAAAGCCTTTTTCTTGTGTGTATTTGCTTTTTTGTCTTAAATGAGCACTGGTGCATCGCGCAATAAAAAGGAAACAGAAATGCCCTAAATAAAATCCTGTTGAAGAGGAGCTGAGGTAGCCTAAAATAAGTCAAGAGGTTGAATGTTAAATGTTAAAATATGTGCACACAGTAACACTCAGTATTTCATTTAAAGATCTTAAAACCTATGCTGTCCACTTGAGTGGAAATCTGGAAAATCATTAAATAAACACATTTTTGATGACAACAACAACAGATGGGGAAAAACACCCTTTTTATGCCTCAAGAAACTATAAAAAAAAGAATCCCAACTGAAATGTTCATTATTCATGCATCAGAGGGTTGAGGATGAAGGTCAGGTAGTCATTGAAAAACCCAAAACTGGCCAAAGCAACAGGTGTCAGCAGCCCGGTGGCATTCCCCCTGACCTGCAGGAGCCACAACAACACAACACAACAAAACACACCACCACGCAGATGTTACAACCCATCCAGCCATCCATTATCGTTACAGTTTATTCCCTAATGGGGTCACGGGGAGAACTGGAGCCTATCCCAGTGGTCACCTTGGACGGTCTGCCAGTCCATCACAGGGCCACACAGAGACACACAAGGACCAACAACCACACACACACACACACACACACTAAGGGCAGTTTGGAGTCCAACCAACCTAACATGCAGGTTTTTGGACGGTGGGAGGAAGCCGGAGAACCCGGAGAGAACCCACAGACACAGGAGAACATGCAGACTCCACCCAGCAAGGTCCTGGTTCCCCCGGGGACTCCAACCCAGAACCCTCTGTCAGAAAGAACCTGGTTCCCCCAGGACTCCAACCCAGAACCCTCTGGTCCTGGTTCCCCCGGGGACTCCAACCCAGAACCCTCTGGTCCTGGTTCCCCCGGGACTCCAACCAAGAACCCTCTGGCTGTGAAGCGACATGCTAACCTCCACCGGTGCCAGAAAACTCTTAAAAACTAAAACTAAGGTAGCAGTAGCCCCCCCCGCCCCCCCCCCCCCCCCGCCTCACCTTTCTTGAACTCCTCCAGCATGGCGTCCAGCTTGGTGTCGTTGAAGACGCAGTGCAGCGGGTGCCGGTAGAACTGCGTGATGGTCTTCAGCGGCGTGCAGTCGTCCGGGTCCACGAAGGCCAGGTCCTTGACGAAGAGGATGTCCACGATGTTGGAGCGCTGGTTCTCGTAGACGGGGATCCGCGTGTAGCCGCTCTGCATGATGTCGGACATGCTGTTGAAGTCCAGCACCGCGTCCGAGGCCAGCATGAAGCAGTCGCCCAGCGGCGTGAGCACGTCCTCCACCGTCTTGGTGCGCAGCTCCAGGGCGCCCTGGATGATGTTCAGCTCCTCCTTGACCAGGTCGTGGTAGGGGTCGGTGACGCGCAGCATCTCCAGCAGCTTCTCCCGGGTGTAGAAGTTGGAGATCTCCTGGTTGAGGATGAGGTCCAGCAGCTTGCTGATGGGGTAGGAGACGGGGAAGGAGAGCACCATCAGGAGCCGCGTCACCCAGATGGTCTTGGAGGCGATGGCCAGGCCGTGGCGCGAGGCCACCGAGTGGGGCAGGATCTCGCCCACGAAGAAGATCCCGAAGGCGCAGATGACCGTGGAGAGCCAGGTCATGCCCAGGATCTGGCACATCCACACGGCCAGCGAGGCGTTGATGATGGCGTTGCCCAGCAGCAGCGTGCACAGGACGTAGTTGCCGTGGCGGCGCACCGACTCGATCTTGCGGGCGTGGTTCTGCTCGGCGTCGGTGCCGCTGTTCTGGAGGACCTGCAGCTCCACGGGGTCCAGCGCCAGCAGGCTGAGGTTCAGGCCGCTGAACAGCGCCGACAGCCCCAGCAGGAGGACGGACACCAGCACCTGCAGCCACAGCTCCGGGACGGCTGACCGCTCCGTCACGGCCACCCAGAAGTCCCTGGTCCGGTAGTGCTCCCACTTGGAGCCGTCGAAGGCGCACATGGAGTAGTACTTGATCTTCTCCCCCCTCCGCAGGTCCTTGGCCAGCAGCTCCACCAGCACCGAGTTCTGGCTGGAGGCGGACTTAAACGAGCCCAGGACCTCGATGTCGGACGTCCTGGCGTTCTTGTCCATGCACATGTTCCTCTTGGGGTGGGCCTGGCCCTCGCGCCCGGGGCTCGGCTCCTCGATGAAGGCGATCCAGGGCGCGGCGTGGTTGGCGCGCGCGCCCTGGGCCGTGCCCGTGCGGTCGAGCCTCTGCGGGGACGCGGAGTAGTACACCCGCAGCATGAAGCGGGTCCCCTCGGTGGCTTTCAGCACCCCGTCCTCCACGGACAGCTCCGCCCCCGTGGCCTCGGGCCGGAAGCCGAGCAGGGCGCGCGCCGGCGCGGGCAGCAGCGCGAGGAGGCACAGCCCGGCCAGCAGCGCGCGCGGCGCGGGGAGAGGACCGGGACCCCCCCGGCGGCGGAGCGCGGCTCCGGCCCGGCTCCGTGCTGCAGCCTCCTCCTCCGCAGCCATGATGTATGAGGCCCCCCCCCCCCCTCCTTTCAGAGGAGGGATGCGGGGTCACGTGGCGCAGCCCATGTGGGCGAGGGGAGGAAGCTTCCACAAGTCCGATTCAGCCTGATGCTCCGGAGAGATGATGATGATGCCGTGACGTAACTTTCTAATAATAGCCCGCGGCTTATCTGGCGAATGACGCTACCGAGCTGCGGGAATTTTGAGTTCTGAAATACTCAAACTTTACATCGTATCAGTGGTCGGTGCCTGGGTGACCCAGATTAGACTGAATTCAGTCACTCAGTTTTCATAATAAGGCACCAAATCACAGTACATAAGCACCTCAGAGACACGTTGAATTGAAATTGGTCCAATTTTTTTAGGAGGAAGAAGCCTGTTCTCCAATGAGCTCTTCAGAGATGATGGAGTTTCTCATTGGTGTGGAGCAGAACTTTAGTTTCTGCTCTGAATCCAACAGGCACTGAGGAGATACTCAAACTGGAGGAATCTGTTTTTTTTGGATCGGCTGGAGGCTTTAAGTTTGGAGTTTTTGGGTCAGAACAATAAGAACCACGGCAGAACGTTCCAGAAGGAACCAGTGGTGGAGCAGTCGTTACAGGCCGAGGTGCCTGGATCCACCGGAGTCTGTTCAAGTCAAACATTTATTCACCTAAACAGAGAAAAGAAATACAGAAAAAGCTGCTAAAGGCAAGGTTAAAACCAAATTAAGAGATTCTCAGAAAGCAGCGGCCTCCAGTGTCTCTGGAAAAGCACAGGAGATAAAGTTACAATAAAAAAATCCCTCCTAAACAGGAGAACAGAAAAAAAGAATATAAAACCAAGTTAGTTATGAATGGGAAGGCTCTGAAAAACAAGAACTGCCTAAAAAACAACACACATAAGGAAAAACTATCATAAGGAACTGGCTCAGACCACATGAGACCACATGAGACCACCTGAGACCACATGGGACCACATGAGACCACATGAGACCACATGAGACCACATGAGACCCCATGAGACCACATGGGACCACATGAGACCACATAAGACCACATGATCCAAGGTGGGGAACACACACCTACCAGGCCCCATCAGGAGCTAGATTGATTTCAGGTGTGCCTGTGAGGCCACACCTCCCCAGATGCCTTCAGGGACAAACCGAAGAAACTGAAAAGAGAAACCCAAACAGCCAGAACAGCGCAAGCTTCTTTTTTTTTATATTCCTGGTCACTCTGAGAAAGGATGTTCCAGGTTTGGAAGTTTTTAAGAAGGGGGGAGAATTAAAATGTGGCCGTTTTGGATACTCTGACCTCACACTGTAATGAATGTTAGGCTTTAGTGTGAGTAACGGAAATCATTATACAAAAGTAAACTAGTTATTCCTCCCCCAGCCAACAAATAAAATAGAAAGTCTATTCATCCCCAAAAGGAAATTCAGCCACCCACCAGTTTTTAAGAAATAACTGTCACACTTCCTCTCATCAGAGTGCTGAAATAGACGTTTAGAAATCAAATTACTGCTTCTTTTTTCTTATTCTGTCCACTGAAAACGTCCTTTTCATTCTGCTATTCCTCTTCCCTTTTATGTTTCCACCCGTGAAGAAAACGTGGATGCTGTTTGCTCAGATTAGCTGAAACCCTTCACGCATCAATTATGATCACTTCAGGCAGGATTTATTCCGAAATTATTTTGGTTGAAGGATTTTAAAAAATGTGGAGGAGTTTGTGGCATTTGCGTGGTGTTGTGTTACTGTGGTTTTGTGTTGTTTGATGCCTTGTGTGATGACTATCTGCCTTCATCCATGAATTATCATCACTTCAGTTGGGATTTTTTCCAAAGGGTTCAGATTTTTTGAAGCATTTCTTTATTAAAAATGTGATTTTTTTGTGGTAAAAAATGTGTTTATTCAAGTATTTTTCTAGAGTTATACAGAGATGAAAGGACTTTCTTTGACAGGTCTCTGTTTTTTCTCTCTGTGTAACAGGCTAACCTTTCCCATCCACACAAATTAACCTAATTCCTTCTTTTCTCCAGGCGTTTTTGGACCGCTTGCTGTAAGAATAAAACTTTTAACTCCAACAACTGAGCTTCAATGAGCATTTAGTTAACATGTTCCACTGCTTTAGACTATTCCCATGAGTGGGGATGTAAGTTATCATAGATCTGACAAGTCCTATAGAATTGGACTATTGTGTGCAGATTAGAAATACGTCTTTAAAAATGGGGTAGCCTATTTTTTTAAAATTTAAAACAAACATTTGAAATAGTTTGTAATCCAGTCTTATATCCATATTTCTATTCTCAGATCTATATTTTTAAAGATTGTACTTTTTAGTTTGATATTTTCTGTCCTATATTTTTATTTATACATTGTATTTCCTTTCTTGCTTCTCATAGAAGTGTTGTGCACCAAACACCATGGTAATAAACTTTATTCTGATTCTGATTCTGATTTGTTGAGGTTTTAATTTCCCTGTAGGGGTCAGAGTTCCCCTTTGGTCCACACGGTGGCAGCAGCCTACAGCCCCAGAACCGGAGAGCCGCTCAGAGGGTTTTAGAATGAGGAGGAAAAGTACGCACGTGGCCTTTTTTAAAAAGAGACTGCGCCAGAACCACCGCGTGTGTGCGCCAGAACCACCGTGTGTGTGCGCCAGAAACACTGTGTGTGTGCACCAGAACCACTGTGTGTGTGCGTCAGAAAAACCGTGTGTGTGCACCAGAACCACTGTGTGTGTGCGCCAGAAACACTGTGTGTGTGCGCCA